CAGGCAGATAAAAGCTGCAGTGAAAGCTGGATTTGGGTATAAGTTTCAGTCATGAGGTGCCTGCTGATCACAGAAAGGTAGTAAAGTAAATTATGTTTGAATTAACTGTATTATTCCCCCTAACTCTTATGAAATTTGAGCGATGATGACCATTTTACATGTCTTATAATACAATGTGAGGTAGTTGATACTTTCACTTGAGGATATTTCTTTAACTGTTATCTTTTCTCTCTGCAGCCCCAACAACAGCAGTGCAGAGTTGTGGACTGACACTGCAGAGTGACATTTTATATCCTTTGGCTAGCCAGGATCTCTACCTTTTTAAGCAGATTTTCAAATAAAGTAGAAGCAAATCAAGGAAAAAAACCCTTTTAAGGATAAGTGGCGAAAAATAGTCTAATTGCTGGCATAAACTGGGATATTTGAGGATGTTGCCAGTAATATTAATTTAGGCCTAAAATGGGAAACCTTTGGCCCTTCAGGTATTTTAAACTTTGGTCCCCATCAGCGTCACTCAACACGGCTAGTGTTTAAGGGCTGTAGGAATGATAGTCCAAACTGTCTGGGAAGTTAAAGATTCTTCTGTTTAGATGGCTATTATTGTTCAATTTTTACTAAAACCCGGTTGTTTTTGCGTAATGTGAAGTCCTGCCTTTGTAAGCCTGTGGGGTATTATGCCCAGACAGTCTGGATTGTGCAATTAGATTGTGCAATTGACAGTGTGGTTCCTGTTTAGCCTGTTGCATGGCACATGTGTGCTAGTGCTTTATGAATAAGCACTTCTGTCCTGCTGCAATTTTCATTACTGTTGCCGCAGCTTCATGTTGCACATGTTGAACTGTGCAACAGGATTTCAGCCATTGAGTGCTTGCTGATTTTTATATGGAATGATTTTCTATTCCTGTTATATTGCTATAACTTCTACATGTTTTAATTATTGAACAGTACCCTCTTTGGAAGTAAAAGTAAAGAATGTAAATCAGGTGGGATAAGTGTGGCTCCTCTACATGTTTTTGTACAGCAGTTTCTATCCTCTCTCACTGTTGCCTGTGCAGTCCAGAAACACCTTGCCAACCATGGATGCAAGCAAAAGAATATCCTATGTGAATGTTAATAGACTTCAGGGGGAATCCCAGAATGTTGTAAGCCTATCCTCTTGATTTGAGTCTCTGTATTGTTCGCAGTGAATCTTATAGTCTGTTACATTACATGCATTTTCACTTGCTTCCAAAGAAGAAATGTATATATTTGATGTTGGAAAAGAGCCCTGATTTGCATCAGGCTCATGTTCTAATTTCCATCTTTTCTCTCATCCCTTGATTGAAACTGAACCCGCAGAACTGAAGGGATGATTGATTTGTGGATGTGAAGTGATCAGTCAGCAAATCACTTGTATCAATAGAGCTCCTTCTGTCTAGATGTGGCAGTGAAAATATTTCACCTAGCTCTGTTTTCTGGGATGGGTATACTGAAGCTTTTGTGGAAGAGTGCCACCTAAATGATGAGGCCTGGAAGGGGGGGGTACAAGATCATTTGACAGTGACCATGAAAGTAATGGACATTCCACAAGAGAGGGACCAGTTTTGACTCAACACTGTGTTTTACTCTTGTAGTGCTGCTTGATTCTCTCAACAAAAACGAACAGTCATCAAATGGCCATTCCCAGCCCAAGGAACCCACGAACCCAAACCGTCGGAAAATGAGTGGTGACCTCCCTTCAGCCAATGGAGAGGCAGGTGGGGACATCAGTAAAGGTTATACTCAGGATCAGGTAGATGCAGTCAAGAGGTAAGTGCAGAATTCAGAGTCTGAGTTCCAGATATCTGAAGTTTATTATTATAGCGTAGTTTTTCAGTCACAGCTGGAGGTAAGCTTAGGATGCAGCTACTGCCTTGTGTTGAGTAATAGCAGGTACAGAGAACCTTTGGCTTTCCAGAGCTTGTTGGACTCCAACACCCATCAACTCCAGGCAGCATAATAACTGGTCAGGGATGATGAGAGTTGTAATCCAAAACTGATCATCCAGTGTGAAGATTTTGCATGGCACTTTGTGGACAAAGTTGCTTAGATTCACTCTGACTTGATGGATGCAGGTCTCATGGAGAGTCTGTGCTCTCCCCACGAGAAGTCAAATCTGAGCTTTGTTCTCCTAGGTTTAGCTTGCAACCTGAGTGCATGGGTTTCAGCAGTGGATTTGCACAGTTGAAGTTGCTGTGCCAGCTATGCCTGTTGTTTGAGGTGTTTGATTTGCCTACAGTGACACCTGCTTTAGTTATATCCTGCCTGGATTGCTGCAACGTTTTGTAGGTAGGATTGCCTTTGAAGAGTGTTTGGAAACTTCAGTGTGTTCAAATGCTGCAGCCAGACTGGTTATAGGGAGCATACAACTCTGGCATTATGACAGTGTTACTGACTACTGGCCCAATTCAAAGTTCTGATCATGACTCATAAAGCCCTACACAACGGAGTCCAGGCTATCTAAAGAACAGTGTCTCCTGTATGAGTCTCCTTGGCTTTTTAAGTTCTTCTGAGGAGGCCTTTCTCTTGTCCCCACTGCCCTCACAGGCTCATGGGGTGAGGATGCAGGAGAAAGCCTTTTCAGTGGGTTCCTTCCACACCGGCCTTGCCCTCCCCTGCCATTCTGGGGGCCCATACCCGACCCAGAAATGTTTTTGCCTGAAATGGCTAGTCTCACACACGTCCCAGAAGCTTCTAGGGAGCACAACAGGCCATTTTGGGCATTTTCATAACCTGTTGCTCCTGGTCTTGAAAAAGAGCCCACTTGGCCTAAAACAGGCCTTGTTCCCTCCAGAATGTCCCCAAATAACCAGTCCCATCTCCTGGAGGCTTCTTGAGTTGCAATCTTTTGATTTAGGTTCAGTTGTCTGGAAGGGGCAAGGCCTACAAAAACTGCCTTAGGGTTGAAATTTGCCCATTTCACTAAAGTCACTAGGATTTACTTCTTTGTAGGTACACAGAGGATTGCAGTTTTAGTCTGGTTAAATTATATTTGCTTGCAGATGAAAACTTTTTCATGTATGTTTTTAAAATAATATTTTAATGCTATTCATTTTGGATTCCAAAAAGAGGAGGACCTTTTTTTCATATATTGTTGCTAGTGCCTTTTGAACAGGATCTTGGCAGTAACATTTCAGCCTGGGTTCAGAGCAAAGCATAGCCAAAACATTTCCCAAATCTATTTTTAAAGTGTAAAACAGGTTTGAGTCACTTGGGGGCAGCATTTTTATTATGTTGATTTTGATCTTCCCATTTTCTGGACTAGTGACTTCTCCAAGCTCTGCTGTATTGTATATTCATGTTTAAATCATTGGCAGAAAAGAGGCCAGCAACTGGGAGGCTTCAGGCATGCCTGAATCCATGGGGAGCGGGGTTATAGCTCAATGGCAAAGCACACAAGCTTCTGTATATAGAAAGCCCTGCATATAGAAAGGGTTTAATCCTTAGCTTTGCCTTTTAAAAATAAATATATATCAAGCAGGAGAGGATGTGAAAGACCTCAGCCCCAGGCCCTGGAGAGCCGTTGCCATCCAGAGGAGGCAATCTTGGTTTAGAAGGACCACTTGTTTTTATAATGGGCATAAGGCAGCTACTTCAGAAGCTTACTTCCTCCCAGCCTATTTATCTGAAGAGTTTGCAGATAGCTTTTGAACACCATGTGTTGTAGGGACATAATCTATCATTGCTACTGCATGCTTGCTCTGACCTCAGGACTCTTGTATGTATAGGCATCTTCTGTCACTGTAGTGCTGTGAGCACAACGATATTATTGGTCTGTTTATTCCATTGAGATGAATGGTGACATGCTTGGAAGTAGGGAAACCACAGATAGAAACAAGTGGATAGGAGTCATTACATTTTCAAAGGTACATATACCCTAACATAGAAATCAGGGAAGAGGCATCTCCTGGCTGTATCGCTGTGGGGGTATATTGCCCCATAGCTTTGGAGTTTGTGGTTTATTTCTAGAAGTGATGTGAATAGAGCTGTTGGATGGGCCACAAGGGCAACACCAGATGGAAGGAGTTAAAATCAATAGTAGTTCAGAGCCAGCTGAGTTCAGGCCCTGACAGGGGTTTCAAGGTAAGTGAGACGTTCAAGGAGAGCTTTTATGAATCTCTCTCTCTCTCTCTCTCTCTCTCTCTCTCTTTTGTTTTTGGTCGTTCCTTTCTCTATATCAGTGGTTCCCAACCTTGGCTCCCCCGAAGCTCTTGAACTAGAACTCCCAGAAGCCTTCACCACTAGCTCTGCTGGCCAGGATTTCTGGGAACTGCAGTCCAAGAATGTCTGGTGACTCACACACACCAGTGAGTTCCCATGGCCAAAGCCTTGCTCTGCAGAGTTCTAGTCTATCACTCTATCCCCCACACCAGTGGTCCCCAGCCTTTTCCCGACCGGGGGGAGGGGGACGTGGCATGTGTTAGTTTAAATTTTAATAGAAAGTGTCAGTTTAAATTTTATTTTAAGGGTACATGCAAGATAAAGTTACTTAATAAACTCAAAGTTTCATCTACTAATCTCCTCAACCTTTAGGGTGAAACAGTGTAAAGACTACTATGAAATTCTGGGTGTGAGTCGAGATGCCTCTGAGGAGGACCTCAAAAAGGCATACCGGAAATTAGCACTGAAATTTCATCCGGATAAAAATCATGCACCAGGTGCTACGGAGGCCTTTAAAGGTAGTTTGTTTGTTTGTTTGTTTGTTTTCATTTCAAGAGCCATTTCACACTTTGAAAATCTTGCATGGGGTGGGGAAAAAGCCAAACAAAAGGGGGCTGAGGTTCAAAGATTGCTCTTTATTGGGGAGAGGAGGGGAAGAATGATAGTGTATTGTCTGATGGCATTGCAAATGGGCTAAACATTTTGTGTTGGGAGGCAATTATCTCATTTATTTCAAAATCATTCTGGTGCAGAGACTCTCTTACATTTTGTAGATACAGAGTGAAACTTTCATGGAAACTATGTCACATAGAAATAATTTGAAAACGGTGTTCTTCAGGAAGGTTTCTTCACCTTCATACTTTATATTATAATGTTTACTGTGGGCTTTACTAAGAAGTGGATGTGTCAGTGATGGGGCATGAAGCAAGAGAGGCCTTTATGCTCCTTAACGGGCCCATCTTCCATAAGGTTATCTTTACTTACACCCATTTCATTGCACCCTTTATCCTTCTCACGTTAGCTTGCACATGTCAAATGACGTTCATTCCTTTGGTTTTAGAAAGTGGAAAGAGACATGCACCATTCTCTTGAAATGGCTTAGTTAATATTTTTCTGCCACAGACGTCAGCTGCTGCTTTAGTGTTCCATTTCCCAGTGACAGCTGATAAGTGTGACACTTCAGTCTTCAGACCTTGCTTTGATAAATAGTGTTTCTTTGCTTTTTTGGAGTAAGTTTGTAAGAACATCAGGACTTTGCTGGATCAGAATGTAGAACCACTGCCATTTGTAGCCTCAATAAATGTAAATTAGAACAGAAGAATACAGCCAGTTTTTGATGCACATTGCCAAACTAGTAACTTTGCCACTTGAGTGTTCTTGAAATGTTTAGCACACTCCATTCTGAACATTTTGGCTAATATTTAAGGACCACTTTTCCAGTGAAAGTATAGCCCTGAGTGCTAAAAAGCAGACCAAATTTTTAAAAATTGTTGCAACTCCTTGAAAGAAATTCAAACCAGAGGTGAGATTAGCACAGTTCAAGCATGCATCTTAGAGACATAATTGTTTTTTGGCCTTAAAGATAGCAGGAGTTACAGCCGCACAGCAAATTACATGAGTAATGAACTCAGTGAACTTACAGCATTGTGTAAAAAGACTTCCCAGTTTGTAGGTATATGATCCTTAGGGTTTTTTCCATTTGGATTGTTTACACTGTGCCTATAACATAATGCAGATTCAGCTCTGTACTCAGGTTTCATAAGACTGTGGGGTTGTCAGTGTTATGTCTACAGTTTAATCATGAAAGTGTCCATCAGTCCTAAACATCTGAAGACTATAGAGAGGAACATGGAGCCAAGGACAATTTTCTGTAAAGAGAGAACAAAATTGAGAAATACCAGACGTCAAAAGAAAGAAAGAATTACAGTTTGTACTAGTAGTGATTAAGCTGCACCCGAAGCAGAGTAAATAATGCAACAGAGAGATGGGCTGAGAACAGTGTCTTGGGTCTAATTTGATTATTTTTTTTCCCATAGTGACAACACCCCTTCAGATAGCCTCTATGCCTGAGGCCTTTGCAAAAGCTTTACTCACCATTTTTAAAATCTGAGTTGCCAATATATATTTATATTTGAATATTCTGTTTGTTTGCACTTCTTGATACTGCAGCATATCTATTAGCATGGTGTTTTTTTCAAGAAGTTTTTCTAAGGGAGAACAGTCAGCTGTTTATCAGGACTTGACCAGGCTACAAGCTCAGAAGAAAGTAATTCTGTGAGGATGGGTAAAATGTGACACTCCAGATAGTGTTGGATCCCTCACCATTGACTATACTAGACAAGACTGATGGGAGTTGAAGTCCAACATCACTTGGAGGGCCACAGATTGCCAGTCTTTGGTGTAGGAGGAAGGGGAAAGAAAAAGGACATTTAAAAAATAATGATCTGTAAAGACCACAATTCAGAGTTAAAATAAAATGTTGAAGTCAGGCTTAGCTAGTTGCTGTTGGGTCCCAGTGAAATCAATGCAAAAATGTTGCCATGATCACATCTTGTCCCATTGATTTCAGTGTGGCTTACAGGCTACATTCTTCACTTGGATCCAAATGAAGACTTGTGGACTTGAGAGGACCTACTAAATACCGTTTCTTGTAGACCCAAATCACTCCGTCTAGCTGTATCTTAATTAAAGCTGCCTTTGAGTTACTGCTGTTTGTATGCTCATTAGATCCCATCTGCTGAAGTGGTGTGGCACAGTTACCCTGTGAGGGTACAGGTGGCAGTTGAACGGGAAAGTACTCATCCACTGACTGATTAGAATATAAATGGCTTGTACCATAGATCATATTAGAACTGCAGTGGTGACACGACAACGAGAGTGCATGAATGCAGCCAAAGGCCTGCAAAGTGAAGGCATTTGTCTTGGAATGCCTTCTAAAAGAATTGCGAGGGGAAATACACAGCTTCAGACAGATTTGAATTCAGTATAGCAGAGCTTTCAAGCAGAGTGTAAGCAGCTGCCAGATTTTGGAAGACTGTCCCTCCCCCCATCCCGATGAAGCCCCAGTGGCACCTTGGGCATACCCCGCTGTCTTGGTGGGACCCTAGAGTCCCCTCAGCAATGCACTCTCAGGCCAAGCAAAAATCTATGCTCCTTGGATCAGGCAAAAAAGCCACAAATCCCAGTCTCACTGCAGGTAGAAACCCCCCCCCCACACCCTCACCACATATCTCACCCTGTGTGTAACTGACACTCCACCTACATACAGGTCCACCTTAAGCCTTTTGTTGTCACCTGACAACAACTGTGACTGATGATGGCTTCAAACACATGAACCCATTTACACTAATGAATTTTAGAAACCAAATGCCACCCTTCCCAAGTAACTGACCTCTCAAGTTTCAGGCATAAGGGTTTCATGATTTTGGAACTGTGGCTCTGGCAAATGCACATCCACCATCTTCTTTTATTATTATAGGTAAAATTATTGATTATTCTTGGCCCACAAAGAGTTTCCCAGGTGATTCTGGATAGCCCCTCATATGAGTATCATGATAAACTATGCTTTTTAAACAGGCTTAGCACATATAAGACGGAGAGTGCTGCAATTATTGGTTAGTATTCAACTAACTTTTCCAGAGTGCTCTAGGCAGCAAGGCGAGCAATCTCCCTTACAACCCTGTACTGTAGAGAGGAGGCAAAGGCTGAAAGTGACAGGGTTATCCAAGACCACCCCATGAGCTTGTGCCTGAGGGAAGAGATGAACTAGGCACTTCCCGGTTTCCATGCTTCTCCATGGCATCCACCATTGGCAGAAGAAAGGCTCTAACAATGTTCTTCTTTCTTACATTTTAGCAATTGGTAATGCTTATGCAGTGTTGAGTAACCCGGAGAAGAGGAAGCAGTACGACCAGTTTGGAGATGCAAAAGTCAGTCCCACGCGACATGGGCATGGCCCTACAGACTTCAACCGAGGGTTTGAGGCTGACATCTCTCCTGAGGACCTCTTTAATATGTTCTTTGGTGGAGGTTTTCCTTCTAGTAAGCCTATAATTTTTAATCTTTTTGTGAAGGTGAAAGTAAAGGGGTGTGACTAGTTGGTTTCCTCCTCATTTACATGCCAGATGTGTAGTGTGGCCCGGGTAAAGCCAGGTAACCCTGTTTGTCCTGCTTAGGGGGTCCATGTGGACTGAAACACCAATCCTTTGACAGATGCTGTGAGATGCCACATGTGAGGCTATCTTAGCAAGTAGGCCAGTGGATATGCAATTCTCTTACACCCATGGACAAGATATTTGATGGCAGCCTTTCGGCTACTTCAAGAAGAGATAATTCTCCTAAGGAGGTTTCCTTTTCCATTTTCTCTACCTTGGCAAGAAAATGAAAAATTGCCTGACCCAATAAACCTGTCAGGAGTTGTTTACAGGTGTGGCTGCCTTGAATTATCTCCAGCAGGTTTCCAGTGCTAATGCAGCCCTGTGCTGTTGTGGTCAGTAGTTGAGTTTCAGTTGAGAGAAAAATTCCCATTAGGCCAATTGAAATAGAGCATGGATAGAAGGGAAAGTGAGGTAAAATTCACTTTCTGCCTGCCCAGTGCCTCATCCGCCCAGTAAAGCAGAGATGTCACTGGCCTCCCTTCATGTCCTGCAGACATGAAGAATGAGTAGCTGTCCGAATTCTGTAGGACCACAGCTTTTACCAGCCATAGCCACAGTGGCCTACGATGGTGGGATGTTGGGAGTTGCAGGCAAGCAGCATCTGGAAAGCCACATGTTTCTCATCTCTGGCTTACACTGTAAGGAGGTGGTCTTCTCCAAGACCCATCATTTTTCTCCAGATGCTGGAAGGGTCATAAAATTTGAGAGCAGAAAGATACTTTCCTTTGGGTCAGATTGGCTAGAGATCTGTTGGGGTGTGTGTGCGTGTGTGTATGTCTGAGTAAAGGTTGCCTTCCCCACAGCATGTAGCTTGGGTGTCTTGCTTGAGTCATTTCGAACAAGTTGCTATGCACGTCCCTTTTCTGTTGTGCACTTGCTCTCTTTCTTTGTGGCATGATATCGTCTGGCTTTGATGGGAGGTTAAACTGTTCTCTGCTGGTTACTTCTGCCTTCGTGGACAGGACTTGGTCGGAGGGAGGATGGTCAGCAAAATAAAATAAAACTGCTCTGCCTGCAGTCCTGATGCTGTCTATGTTGGTTTTTGTTTTCCATTTGCAAGAGGATCATCAGCTAGTAAGAAGTTGTCTAATCTGCTTCTTTTATCTTAACCTGGCAAGGAGAGTAGGTTACAGGAAATTGCTGTGTGGGCGTTGCAGTGTCTAGGCTAGTTCTAGAGCAAAGGTTGGACTTGGTTAACACCACTGATGGGCAAAGTGCTCGTGTGGGCTGGGAGCTCCTCCTTAGACCTCCCCCTTAGACTCAAACCCAGTCCTCTAATACAGACCTCCCAGCCCCCCCCCATAGATGCTAAAAAAACATTCACATTTTAAAAAAAGGTTTCTCAGAAAAGTCCCTTTGTGCTCTCTAAGAGGGTGTGCAGAACCATTTTGCCATGACCTGCCCCCCCCAGCACTTCTGCCTCCCTGTCTGGTTAATATTTTTGCCAGTCTTTTTCATATAAAAAAAGTTGTTAAAATAAAATATCTTGGTGGTGGGATGGACCCATGAGAGTAGCTGAGGCACTCTGTGATCCATGGCAGCTCTAGGACTTTGGGAAGATCTGCATCCGTGGTTTACATGAAGACTAGATGGGCTGGACAGCCTTTCCAGAGGCAATGGGCTGTGACTGAGAAAGCTCAGTTTCTAATATTGGCCTTTTTGGCTTACGTGGGAGTTACAGTGCTTAATATCAACAACTGTGAGGAGTGGGTGGGACGGGTAGCTATTTTGTGGGAGAGGCGCTCTGCCTAATATCAAGGTCCTAAGCCATTAAGGGCTTTACAGGTTATGCCAAGCACCTTGAGCTGAGCATATGAGCTAACAGGGAGCCAATGAAGGAATGCCAAGAGTGTTCATATCTGCCTGGTGTCTGTGATCTGTCTGGCCACCACATTTTGGCCCTGTTGAAGTTTCTGTACTAACTTCAAGGCCAGCCCTGTATAGAAAGTTTTACAGTAGTCCACTTTAGAGATTACCAATGCATGAGCCACTGTTGTTGGGCAATTCTTCTCCAGGTAGGAGCACACTTGGGCAACCAAAAGAGTTGATAAAAGGCACTCTTGGCCATAGTACATATTTATACCTTCATATCTGGGTCCAAGAATACCCCTAAAATGTGGAGCCAGTCCTTTTGGTGGGAGTGTAACCCCATTGAGGGCAGGTAGGTTTCCCTCTAACCAGTCCAGCAATCCTCCCAACAGTAGGATCTCTGTTGTATTGGATTCAGTTTCAGTTCATTGTGCCTCACCCAGCCCATTATCAGCCTCCTGCGGTCTGCTCACTTCTTTAGTTCTGTAATGACTTGTGCCAGAAATTGTACTGAAACTCAGCTTATTGAACTCTGAATTGGCAGTAAATTCTTCCACAAAAGGAGTACTGTAATGCAGTAACTCATGGGGCAGAAGATGCATGGGGCAGGAGACTACCTTAACTTCTCCATGGCCCATAACCATTGTGAGTCCTTAACTGGTCACTTGGCTGGTGTTTGTGATCAAACAAAAGGCTTCCTGCTGAAGTAGGGCTCCCATCACTTCCTAATTTCAAATGAAATGTTTTTGCATGCCAGGAATGTTTTTATTGAACTACCATCTCTGCTGTAGTTCAGGTATAACAGCTGCACTTTGTGGATGCTTTATGCTGCCTGGACATTACAATGACCATGCATGTTCATGTCATCCCAAGTGTTAAAGATTATTCTGTAGCCTTTGCTGTAGATACTCTTGGCATCCTGGAGATATTTACATCTTAATTTTTGCACCAGCATGAAGATTTTTTGCGATAAAACTGGTGTTTCACTGGAAGAGCCTTTTGGCTGGAAGAATGAAATGAATGGTAGGCTCACCCATTATATGGATTCACAAATAGTAATAAGACAACACTGAATATCCCAGTTTGTGGATGAACTCAGGATCAAGGAAGTTGTCATCACTGTGTCTCGGAAAAGAGCAAATTGTGTCAATTGGTTGAGCAGGGATGATTCTCCACATATTTCAAAATCATCATACAGATGCACAGAAAAGTATGTTGAGCAGCAGCCTAGGGCCCCAAAAGGACAAGCCCACAATCTATTTCCAAAGCATCCATAAATAGCCACGCGTACTCTTTGGCTTCTGTCTCTCCCGTGTCTCTTACAATTTTGGGCATCCTGAGGAGTTGGCGGTCCAGGAACTTTGTTGGGATTCTGGTGGTTTTTTTGGCTTGAGTTTCAAAGCCACTTAGGAAACCCAAGAACTGAATAAGCGCATGTACTCCTCTTCAGCTTCCCAAAGCTTTTGACTGCCTAACCCTATTTGTTACATTTGTGTGGGCTTCTACTTGTTATCCCCAGTAGATTCTTCTGCTCCGTCCTAAACAGTTAGTTACCTAGCTCAGCATGTCTTAGAGTCCCAGCTTTTGAAGCACTAACTGTCCACCATACCACCCTGAACATCTTGATCTCATACGATTTTGGAAGCTAAGCACTACAGGCTGGTTAAAAATTGGTTGGGGAACCACCAGGGTGTACCACAAATCTCCAAGCAGGACTGAAAAATAATCCTGCCTGAAACTCACCTGGAGAGCCATTGCAGCCACTCCAGATTGAGAGTCCTGGGCTAGATAGGTCACTGGACTGACTCAGTCTAAGACTGCTTCCTATATTTGTCAATTAAAGAAAATTGGAAGCTTCTGGAGCCATCTGAGTGTCCTGCTCTATATCAAGGCTGCCAGCTTCTGATGAAATCCAAAAGTGGGCAGGGTAGCGAACAGAGCCCAAGTAGCAGGAAAAAGTGGAGGGGAGAGAAAGAGAGAGACGACGCATCAGAAGCCATGAAAGGCAGAATGAGTGAGCCAGTGGGGCTCCAGAGAACTGAGGAAGGGATTTGTGGGGGGGAACGGCAGGGAGTTATACTTATCTGAGTCTCCCTGGCAGGCCCCACCCTTAATAAAGAGCCCAAAGGAAGAAGACACTGGGAGTGCAGCGTCCCTGCTCCTGCCCGCAGCAGGAAGCCTCCGAGAGTGGTGGAGTCTGCCTGGAGGGAACGCCGGGGAGAGCCGCGTGAGATGAACCCCCCCGTGGGAGCCAGACCCCTTTGGCTAAGGAGGGAGTGGGGTGGCCACTACCAGAGGATGTTTATCTTCAGAGGTGTAAAGAGTAGCAGGCGGTGAGGGGGAGAGGGCTCAGGGACCTCCCAAGATCCAGTTGTACCACTACCTTCTTCCAAGTTCACAATTGATACTGGATTCCCTCTCAGAAAGGGAAAGCGATTAGTCAGATGGTGCTGAGGTCTGCTGTTTACCATGTGCCCTCCTACATCCCCTGTCCTATAACAGGGAGCGTAAAGGGACTTGAAAATAAACAACATTGTGCATTTGATTTGAACAATGTCCTTATTAATAGCCTAGGCACTTCAGCAGTTGTCTCTTAAGCAGTGTGCTTGATATCTTTACAGAAGCAGTAAGTGGCAACTTTCCTTCGTATTTACTTCCAATGACAGATCAACCAAATACTTGTTGGTGGCTTAAACCCCCAATGCTAAATGTACAACATAAGAGCGCACCTCGGTGATTTCAGTGGCACCTAACTTCCATACACTGTGCTCCAGATCTGCAAGGAGTCCTACTGAACGGGTTTTCCTGTCGCAGGCTTCTGAGCCACCCACTCTATTAACTGTACCATAATAGATCCTGTCCTGTCATTAAGTGCCTCTCATTATCATCCTCCAGACTCCTAGCATCCTTGACAGCCTCTGGTTAAGCTCCATTCCAGGAATGGAATATTTTGAGTTCTGTTGCAACTTCTCCATATCCTGTCACGGCTAGTTAACACAATGTTTTTGGCCACTCCTAACCATTATTTCTTACCTACAGGTAACGTCCACGTATATAGTAATGGCCGGATGCGATATACTTACCACCAGAGGCAAGACAGGCGAGAGCATCAAGGAGATGTAAGTTGTAACAAAAAGGAAGAGAGAGTAAGACTATAATCAAAAGACGCACCGTAACCTGCCTGAATAAAAATGACATTCTTTTGAACTTCCTGTTACTTTTTCACTTTGCCAGCCAAAAAGTACAGCACAACACCAAGCTTTTACTTTTGAACTGATAGTGACCCTGGGGACAGCAGCCTCTGCCCTTAAGACTTGGCGGACAAGTAGAGATGATGTGTAGAGATGGGCATGAATGGCCAGTTTGGTGCTTTGTGCCGGTTTGTTTATCGGCCAAACAGCCAAATGGCCAGTTTGGTGCTTTGTGCCGGTTTATCGGCCAAGCAGGCGTTTGGTGCTTCCCAGCCCATTGGGGCACTACCTCTGAGTGGACACCTGCCAGAGGAGCTGGGACTGGGAAGCACCAGATGCCTGTTCAGCCACTAAATGAACCAGCACGAGCCAGTGGTTCATGCTCATCTCTAATGGCCAGTGAGTACTTGCCCTTCCTAGTGCTGACGTACCACTATTTTCCAAATGCGCTGAATGAAGTGCCTTTTAAATTATGCTTTCCCCAATCCACTGAGTGCCTGTGAGCTGCATGGCAGAAGCCCCTTCAGCATCCATGCTAATCACTCCATTATTTAATTATCCCAAAACGAATGTTTCTGGGTACAGCCTCTCCAGCCTCGATTCATCTTTAAGCTGTGTCACAAAATTGGCTGGGAGTGTTTGAGTGAACACTTACAAGTCAATGATCAGCCTTCAGCCTCCTTGATCACTTTCCAGCATAGTTTGTGCTTTCAAGTATATTCTAGCTGGGGACTGGAAAAGCTAATTTTCTAGACTAGCACTCCCACTTTCCACAGTTGTGGTTCGGGGAGAGAGGAAGGAATGCTAAAAATTGTAATCCAAAATAATAATAATAATAATTAACTTTTCCAAGCTTTGACTAGCAACCAAGTGTATTGAACGGAGAATCTAGAGGAATATGGTGCAAAATTTGAGGTCATCCTGACAATCCTCTAGCCACTTAGAACAATGACACCTCATTCCCGTTATGCTTTCTGCTCAGCAGACTGCCCTAGATGCTCTTGTCATCTAATCAGGGGAGATCTCTCTTGTTTGTTTAAATGATGTTGTAGCCTTCTTATCCCACCAGTCAACAGGAAGTGACAAAAATAAGTCGTTTCTGGACCTCTTGTTTGCAGATCTTTAGCCTCCGTCCCAGCAGTACTTGATGAAATGCCAGGCAGCAGAACCCCGTTTTCTCTCCTACTGGCTCAGAGGACTCCCCCTTTTCCACAAACCAAGTGCTCCCATTACTGGCTCCTTGGTCAGGGCTGCTATGCTTCTGTGACGTGTGGAGGTCTCTTGGGGTAGCATCTGGGGAATGGTTCACACACCTACAGTTCATACACTGCCAGGCTTGCTCATGTATAGTGGTTCCTTTTCAGTACTATAGCATAAAAGCTAAGAGGCTGAGCTGGGACCTGGTATGTTCCTTGTTCCAATCTCAGATCTCTCACAACTTCTCTAAAGGCACCAGACCAGGCATTATTCTTCCCCCTCCTTTTCTAAGAGGGAGATAATAATGACATCCTACCTGTCAGAGTTGTTGCAGTGAATAGTGAGATAATGTATGCAAAGTGCTGCAAAAGAGCTAAGCGTCATCACAGTTGTAGCAGTGAAATCTTTACATATATTAAGCCTGTTCTTCCCTCTGTGGATCCAGGGTTGAAAGACATCCTGTTCTGACCCAGAGTGGGGAAGGGCAAAGCGATCTTGTGAATGCAAATGCACTGACCGCCTTCCCTTCTTCTTCCCTAGGGTGGCCTTGGGCTGTTTGTCCAGCTGATGCCTATCCTCATCCTCATCATTGTGTCTGCTCTCAGCCAGATGATGGTCTCCAGTCCACCTTACAGTTTGAGCCACAGACCGTTAGTTCCTGTTACTCTTTTACCTCAGGCAGTTCGAGAGGGTGTGGGAAGGGAGGGCAGGCCGTGGTGTGGTTTGCCAATTGAGGGTCAGTGTTTTGGTGTTCTTCCCCTTGTGTTCTGCCTCTTCCTTTGCTTCTCATCCTCTTGTAGGTGTCTCCTGGCTTTCTGTCAGGCCACCCAGGATAAGAACCAAGTAAAACATTCAGGTGTTCACCTGACAGAATTCTAAAGGCAACTCCTGTATCTTCTATAGCAACATTGGGAATCTGTAGCAACATTGGGAATCCAAAGCAAACCATATTTCCCCATGCCATCAAATTTCAGCAACAATTGTGGGATAACCCTTTTAAAGCAAGTTTGCTTTGAATGTATGGTAATGATTTGCTGCCAGAATTCAAACGCAAGTATGAAAAATCCCATTTAAAGCTTGAAATATTTTTCACCCTCTGCTGTACTGATGGAGACAGGATGTGGGTGTCTTGCAGCAGGTACTGGGGTGACAAGATTGGTCCCTGGGCCCACCAAAATGGCCTGCCTTGTTCTATTATGTCTTAAATAAGGTTGTCCTTTCAGGCAAAAATGTGTGGTTGTTTAAATCCCATTATAAATGGAATGTGTTATTGACAAGTCCCTCATTTGTGTTCCATTTCAGGTATATAAGGGTTTTGGTTCTGAAAATATTCATATATTTCTCTTGTGTGTTTTGAGGTGATACTGATAGCATTCTTGGCTTCAACCATTTGCCTAGGTTCATATTAAAATGGTCTTCCCATTCCTGCAAGGCTGTGAGAGAACTCTGCTTCTTTCCTGCCTTCAGCCCCATCAGACTTTTCCCCGTGATTTTGATCAGAGGCTGTTGACTCCAGAACAGTCAAAGGACAACAAAACTTGGCATATCTGTGACAAAGTGCCTTTTCTGTCCCATGTGGACGTTTGCATGCGGTTGTAGTAGTGGCTGAGTGCACAGCCCTTGCTTCCAATGGTGCTTGTAGTGTCGTCCGCTCCAGGAAGATAGGCAGAGCCTCCCTGAGCAATGTCCAGTTGCACCAGTTGAACAAGGTGCGGACTGACAAAGGGGAGGGGAGGAGAGGAGCTGTTTTTTGTCAAAAGTGCTTGCAAACAAGGACAACAGTGCTGGATGCTGAACACCCTTTTGCACCCTTGCAGTCCTTCATGAAGAGGATCAAGGGCTGCCAGTGGATTGGATCTCACTGTGTCATGGGTCCCAGCTTTTTCTCCCTACCCCTTTTCCCTCCCCACCTTCAACTCAGCCCTCACAATTTGTGCCCATTGAGTCCAGTAGAAGGGAAAAGATACCAGACCCCTGAGCCTAAGAGCAAGGAGGAGCATCTTTCTTTCGCTGTCGTTTTTCAGGTTTCCTTTCCATTCCACTTTTTCACACTGGAAAAGAGCAGTGAATAAGCAAATGAGAATCCTGACGATGAGGCCAGCTTGTAAAATAGGGGTGCAGTTTGGCCTTCTGGTCTCATCCACTAAGTAGCCAGCTGGGGGAAGCATTTGCCACCAGTTATATACACAGCGTAGATATTTTTGCACTTTGTGAAAGATGTGGCTGTGCTTATCCATGTGATCTGTATGCTGGGAAATGCTTAGAGTAGGTGAGATTCCTGTGATGTTCATATCCCAGACATGCTATGTCAGGTTTCTCAGGTTTTGTATGGCTAGGTGAAATGTGTCGGCACCACCCTATCAAGCAGGGTGGAGAACCTGAGGATTCTAGCAAATGTCTTGGGCATTTCACCAGGAGCTGCGGGAGGCATGCCACTGTCTTAAAATATGGTCAGGCACTCAAAGGTCCAAAAGGGAGGGTGCCTTTGTGCCTGTTTTAAAAATGCAGGTGTGTATAAAAATAATCAAGGTTGATTCCTACTTGAAGCAACTGGAAATAAAATCTGACATCATATGAGTAGTAGTATAAGAAGTCAAATTTATATATTTATTTTAATGCTTATTCTAAGGTTCCTCGTGTTCAACATCAAATTTTAAAACTGAAAGTACAGATTTTCAAGCCATTTTTAAAATAGATATAATGGATATTGGAAACAGAAGAGTGTTGGAACATTCAGGTTTTGGTTTAAGCAGTGATAGATTGACTTGAACTCAATTAAACAAAAACAATTACAATTTCAACCTTTTCAGTGTAAAGCATAGCAGAATTACCACTTACAGTAGTTTAAAATGCATTTAAAACCCACAATTTAAAACCATTTAAAATCTACACATCTAAAATTCATCTACCCTTTGATTTCTAGAATCTAAGTATCACCATGCAGAAACTTGCAACATGATAGGTAATCTTAGGGTCTTTATCTGAGAGAAAAAACTGGAGTCGACTTTCTTCTGTACGACCTGAGATTTTTTTAATCAGTGAAAAAATAATCTGGTTATGTGCAGTCTCTTAGTGGGGACAGGTAAAAAAACATGTGTTGCATAGTTTCTACCACCCCTAGCGAACAGGAGCAAAGCCTTTCTGCATGGCAGGTTCCTATATTTCCCTTTGAGGACGGCAAACGGAAGGGCAGAGTATCTTGCTAGTGTAAAAGCTCTTCTAAATTCTTTCACTTCTAAGAGTGTTAGATAGTCCGCCGGTTCCATGGGGTTCTTCGTGTAGGCCCTTAACAGCAGATTCTGTACACTAGCAAAATCAACTTGTTCTATATCCTCAATTCTTTTTTTGGCTAATTTCCTTGCCTCATTTATTTGGTAGGACAGCAGCACCTGGGGAGACAGACCGATTTCCATCAAGTGGCTCTGGACAGCCTTTACCCAATTGGACTGGAAATCAAGAATTTCGATTCTACCCTTTCTTGGGGTGCAAAACGTGAACTAGGTGGCCCCAAAAACGAACCATATAGCAGTTGTGCCAGCGTTTTAGCCTTATTGAGTTTAAGAGCTGTAGGAACAAAGAATCTGCCCTGAGAGCGGTGAAACTTTGCTATACTAATTGCAGTCCTTTCTCCTTGATCAGCTGCATACTTACTATGTTGAACCCTTGAGCCTGTGGCTTGTAGAATTACCCCTAAGTATTTGAAGTTATTAACTTGCTCAATACGGTGACCTTAATTGACCAAACCCTTGTCTTTGGTTTGCACCCAAAGGCAACTGTCCTGGTTTTCTGACAGTTTATTGTTAGAAATTCAGTTTCACAATACAGTATAAGGACAGTTTCTGCAAAGCCCTCCTTAGGCCGACAGGAGTTCTAGAGAGGATCACGGTGTCACTGGCGTACAGTAATGTTGATGTAGGTCTATTAGCAAGTCTGGGAGGGTGGAGGTCGGGGTTATTGAGCCAGCTAGGTAAGTTATTTCTATAAAAAAATAAATAAAGCTGGGGCTGATAGACAGCCTTGCCTGACTCCTCCTCTATAAATTTGGATGGGTTCTGTAAAAGGTATCCTTGTCTACTGCATCTAACTCTTAGGTATGTTTCTTCGTATAAGACCCTTATAAGACACAGAATTCTTCTGTCTATAGAGGACTTTGTCAGTTTATCCCAGAGTCGCAGTCTAGATATGCAGTCAAATGCTGATTTAAAATCAACAAATGCTGCATAAAGGGAGGTTGTACCCCTGGAGGAATATTTCTCAATGTGATGTTGAATAACTAGGCATTGATGTATTGTAGATCTTCCTGGCCTAAAACCTGCTTGTTCTACCACTATGACGTTCTCTTGCTCAAGCCAAACCAAAAATTTATCCAGAAGGTGCCTTGCATAGAGTTTGCTTCTGATGTTTAGCAAACTAATCGGCCTGTAATTGGATGTGTCCTCCCTGTTGCCCTTCTTATAAAATGGGTCTACAACGGCTTTCTTGCAGGATTTGGGTATATAGCCTGCGGTATCAATATGTGTAAAAAGTGGGGCCAGAAAAGCTGCCCATCACTCCTTATTTTCTTTTAAGAATTCTGGTGGAATGCTGTCTGGCCCAAGGGCTTTGGCATTTTTTAGTTGTTTTATATATGATCAAATCTCTCCTGGGATTACAGCAGGCCATTTAGTGGTGCTTTCTAAAATTGTTAGAGAGGAATGTTTCATAGCATCCTCATACAGTTTTGCAAAAAAAGGAGACCCATTTGTCTGCTGGTATACATGAGGATGTAGGGGATTTTTGACCAAAGGATCTACCTGAGATTAAACCCCAAAAGAGGGATGGGTTTTTATCTTTAGCTGCTTCAATTAACTGTCCCCAGAGTTTTCTGGTATATTCTTTCTTAGTGCGTTGTAGCAGCAGTTTATATTCTTTTCTTTTTTTTTTTGTATCAAAAGTTTTGAGAGGGCATCACTTGAACTCATTTTGAAGCTGCAAAATATCCCCACTCTCGAATCTTGAAACTTGACTGCAGCTGTAGCACCAGTGACTGACAGCAGACCTGCTCTGTTGCACATGGGTGCTTAGTTCAATTTATTTATAGTGTGGTTGCAGTTTGAATCAGCCTGTCTTCTCAAGGCTTAGAGAGTAAACTTTGGAGGACTGCAACTGCCAGAAGCCCCACTCACCACACTGACTGGGGGATTTTAGGAGTGGTAATCCAGAACAGGAACAACCCCTAGCTCTGTTCCCAGCTGATCCTCAGTGATGTTTTTATCAGGCAGAAGTGTTCAGGCAGCCTCTTACTCTGCTGGTTTTATTGGTATCCTTGGTCTATGTGATTTCTTTCCCCCTTGGGCTTTCAGTGACTAACCCAAGAATGGGGCGGCCTCCCCTTTCCCATTCTTCAATGATTTTTTTCCCCAAATGCTGGATCTCGGGATGACACTTCTGGATTTTTCAGACTTTGGCTCCCCAAATTCTCCAGTTTTCAATTCCAACAGTTTTCCAGGCAAAATGATGGGGAGTGCAATCCAGAAATGCGAATCTGAAGACCAGCATTATATACTCCATCAGTGCCTTATTTGGCCTCATTTCTACTTTCAAAAACAAGGACACTGCCTCAGTGCTTCCTGGGAGGCGTAGGTCTTTCTGGAAGGCATAACCTTTTGGG